TATAAAACTAAGACCACTGTTACAGGAAAAAATCACGTAGTTTGTTATTCAAATAGGATGATTTCAACATTGGTTATCCACACCTACTTTGAGATTGTAAAAAGCAGTGATAAACGTGACTATGGAGTGTATGAACTGTGTCCTATGAAACAGAGCTAGTTAACAAAGTAAACACCTCTCAGCTGCAGATGATCTCTTGTGTCCATCTGGGCTCTCTGGGTTGCCCTGAGCCTGACAGGCCACAGCCTGGGGACCAGGACAGCAACAGCCACACAGGCCTGGGAGTGCACGGCAAAATTGTGAGGGAGGAATATTACAGCCAGACCCAGATGTACTGTTTCCTCCAGTCACTGCTCTTTTGTGAAAATTCTTTTTAAACAAATACATAGTTTTGTCCCAAAGTAAATATAGCTCTGGATGCTTTCTCTGCTAGGAAGTTAGTAGAAAATTTGTTTTCCTAGCCTCTCTTTTGGGTGAACTTTCACCATTGCATAGTCACTCAGAAAAGAGTTCATCGTGCAATACCACCCCTGGACCCGTGTCCGCAAATGTCTGGCCCACAATGTCGAGGAACTCACCTGCAGGTAAACAGGTGCTTGAATGTGATTTAATACCCGTGTGACCAAACTTGATGACATTTATTATCTGAAGGGAAACATGGCCACGCACTGGAACAGTGACAGCTGGCGCGGGCGGCTCTCTGCCTCTTCTTCGGGATCTCCCTGCGAGATCTGCTCACCTCTCAGCCTTAAAGCGCCTGCGCTGCGTGAGAGGCCCCTGGGGGCCGGCCTCACTTCCAGAGATGCCCTGACCTCCTGCTGGTTTCTCTGAAGCGCCTCCAGCAGCGCTCTCCACACAGGAGTCCTTCCCACTCGCCAGCGTGTGGGAGCGTCACACGCTCGTCAGGTGCTCTTCACTTCAATGATTTGGCTTCTAGTTCTCAATTTGTTTCTGCTCCTACCCTTTCAGAGCTTTTCACCGCCCATGGGAAACATCTGGGAAAGGTCAGGTGATCCTCAAATCTAAATGCTTCAACCTAGTTTGTCCTTAAGGCTGACTTTTTTTTTCCCCAAGGAAGTCACTTTCTCCTTTGCTATGTCAAAATTGAGATTTTTAGCATAAAAATGAATACACAAGTGAACACCCCCAATATTGGCATTTTCACAGCTAATTCGTAACATTTTTTTGTAAAGAAGAAAGAAAAATGGGCAAATATCTTTAAAGGTAATACTACATAAATAAATAATAATAGCCAAGCCTAAATCCCTAAATTCCAAATTTTGTAACATTTTGTAGGCTTATATCTCAATTCTTTCTCCTGAAACAGGAAATGCTCTTTCAGATGAACTGTGAAAGTTGGTCACAAAGTTAACCGAAAATGAAAACTCTTATAAATTCGGATCCCTTTCCAACAGCTCAAAGGCCTAGCACCAGCCCGGGGGGCGGGGTGCGGCTCCTGAACCAGGAAAGGAGGCCCTAGCGCCCCCTGCAGCCCTGCAGGGACTGGAGGAAGGCCGAGAGGTGGGGAGGGAGGAGGAGTTTTTACAGAGAGTTTTCAGGGAGAGGGTATACCCCGACACCTGTCTCCACAGGGGGCATCCAGGAAGCAACTTTGAGAACCTGCCAGTGTCCCCTGACATTTGGGGAACGCACGGCAGGACTGTATGACCATCCTGGAGACATAGGGGAAGGGGCGGGCTGATGTTCTGGCAGACGGTAGGGGGCGCTGCATTTGGGAGAAGTGCTGTCCCAGCCTCAGATTGAAGGTGTCCGCGCTGACTGAAGGTGGCCTAGCTTGAGAGGGAGCTGCACTGAGAGCGGAGGAGATGGTACAGTAGGAGTACTGCCCCGTGATGGGGGAACTGTGGGGCCCACCAGAGGAGGTGCTGGCCCACAACAAGGAACTGCAGTTGCTAGGCCCCTGAAATGGCACAGAATGGCCACGAGAGAAAGTCCACTCTGAACCCCCCAAGTTCAGGCGGCGCCACTGTGGGCTTGCAGCAGTGCAGCCCGTCGCTGAGCATCACTTGCTCTTTTAATCCCCCTACCTCCTTCCCCTGCTGGGCGATGAGAGGTCAGAATTCAAGGTCAGTAAGCTGGGTGAGCAGGCGAGGGTACAGGACAGGACGGGAAGACGAGGAAGCAGCACATGTGCCAACGGAGAAGTCCACGTGTCCCCACGGGCTCCCACAGCCACAGCCCCGGCTAAGTCAGCCTGTTCCCCTGGAGGAGAGAAGCTCTCCATTGAAATGCAACATCGCGTCTGTTAGCCTGCACTGCGTGATTAATTACTGAAATCAGACCTCCTCTGGTTACTGGAGATAACCAGAGGACCCCGGATTCCACCCGAGGGCTGGGGGGCCAGCAGCCAGAGGCCAGTGTGAACAGGCAGGGAAGAGAACAGCTGGTTTGGAAGTACCAACGTGTCCAGCTTGTTCAAAGTGAACGAAGCGAGAGCTGTGGGACGGCAGCGTCCTCTAAAGTCAGAGTAAGCTAAGAGAGACCCACTAACCACCGTGCGGCAAAAAGTGGTTTGAAAATTACTTGAAAGAATATTCAATTTTCTCAAAGAGGATTTTAAATTTCTAATACATATAAAACACTAGCCTTTGTGCTAGGAAATTTTGCTTAATTTTATAAAAAATAACCAGTGTGTACTTTATTTAACAAATAAAAACTAACTTGATAACTACTAATGTGAAAAACTAAGAATGATGATAATAGCAAAATCACTCCATACTTGCTCTGCAAAGTGTCACCATTTAACTCGATTCCCCTTCCCTGCCACACCGTTAACGCGGATCGCCCTTTTCCGGGTCGAGGAAACAAAGTTTGGAGGCACTGGTGATTTGCCCAAGTCTCAGACCTGGTGGGTGGAAAGTTTTTGACACCACACTCTGCAAAATAAGTCTACACACTCTACGAAATATTTATTGACCTTCGGAATAGGCAGGGAAAATGTCACCAGAGTGAAATTATGGCAGGAACAAAAAGGAAGGAAGGCGGTCTTGCTTCTGAAGTTTCTGGGTGATCAGTGCACTGAGAGAGGTCTGTCTGGTTGAAGTGGTCCCTGGAAACAAATGGGAGATTGTGACACCACAGGGAGCAGGTGGTTGTGAGTCCAGCATCTGGACTCAGGAGGGAGGAAGGACTGCAGACATCATTGCAGTGGCTGAGGGTGAGAAATTCGAGAGCATGAAAGTGTTCAGAACCAGAGGGCTGTGTCACCCACGTTTGCTACGAAGGATGTTAGGGAGTTCTGCTCCCTCGTCTGCTGTGTCTGGCATGGCACTAGGTTATAGCTACGTGGAGGTTAGCTTCATCAGCGCTGCCATGGCTCTGTGGTGGGATGCAGCTGTGGAGAGCACAGAGTGTGGGTCCCTGGGGAAAGGGCTCTTCTGGTTCGCAGAGCGCATGGACGCCAGCCCGGCACAGGCCAGGGAGGGCACCACCGAGACCTGAGCAAGGAGACTGGCGCCTGCTTGGAAATGCAGCCATCCACATGGCCAGGGGTGCAATTACACAGACTGATCCTGCTCCCGGAATGATGACGACTGACTGGCCTCAGAGAGGCTGTGGCAGTTATGAAGCCCTGGATCATCCGGATCTGGATGTTCCCTACTGTGCCCATGTGTGAGCACCACAGAAAGTGTAGCTGTATGTATTTGGGAACACTTCCAGAAATTTCTTCCTGTAGGGGTTCAATATAAAGTGTATGAAACTGAAAATAATATTGTAATCTAAAAGGGGACTCTCTCAGGGTTAACCTTGTAGTCTGGCTACTTCTGTTTGTTTGTTTGCCTATTCGGAGAAAGTCTTTACCCCTTGGAGTGTTGAGAAGTCATCACATAACTGCTGCCCTCCACGTTTTGTTTATTGAAATCATTGTGAGAACTGTTTTAAACATAAATCGATTTCACAGCCAAACTTGTAATTATCCTGAATGTCATGTAGAGAACCTTTTATCTGTAAATTAAAAATCACTTCACTTTCAGCAGGATGTTCCCTACTGTGCACATGGTGAGGGCCCAGAGGCAGGACCTGGCTCCAGGGAGAAACTGCAGCACACGCAGGCCTGTGCCCACTCCACCCCTCCACCCCGGGTCCCGGTCCCACATGTTGGGTTCTGACAGACATGGGGGGCAGAGCCCATTCTGCTGACATCTGGATCGGGGCACCTCCTGGAGCAGGACTCTCCACCACAGGAGTGGCCCCCTGGAGCTGGGCCCACTCTGTGCCCTGCGTGTGGCACAAAGCACAGAATCACTCTAGAGAAAGTGCTCCTGTGTCCCAGCTTTCCTGTGTGGACAGGGGCCTGGGGAGGACGAAAGCTGGGCTGGGAGCAGAGTGCACAGTGGACCACTCCTGGACTGCACCCTCATTCTGGACAGGTCACTTCCAGCCCATTATGTGGCAAATCCTGTCTGACGGCCTCTTCTCCAGGCTCTGGGGTAAGCAAGACTGGGAGCCAGGCAAGACTTGCTACATGACCCCAGGCCAATCCCTTGGCCCTTGAAGTACCACCTGTCGCCTGGGAACCATCCTGGGACCACACATGTAAGTAAAGGTCACAGACTGTGAGTCCTGAGGTCCCCAGTCCTTCGCAAGTTTATAAATGTACCGTGAAGAAGTTAACCTTCCCTGCTTGAAGGCTTTGCTGCTTCTGTGAACGTGGCCTTCTGTGTAGGGGCTACACGTGCCTTCTCTGGTTCTGGGCTGCGGGAGCTGGAGTGGGGTGGAGACCCTGGGGGGGAGGCCACGATGAGCCACTGGGCCCCTAACTTCTCCTCCCTTCTGGGCCTGTAGATGGTGATGAGATCTGTAGGTGCAGGGGCACCTGGCTCACTGCACCATTTATAGGCACGTCTGCCACTTTGCCTCCTTCCCCCACATCCTGCTCTAGGTGCACAGTGTCCCACGGTCAGATAGTGACCGCCACACAGTCATGGCTCTGCTCCATTCCCGAGGAAGGGAAGGCGGGCGGCCAAGAGCAGAGCCCTTCTCTCCTCTCCAGTAGGGCTGGATTGGCCCTCAGCAGCCTCCATGCTCCCCACTGCACACCCTGAGAGCTGGGAGCGCCATCCTCACCCTTGCTGCTGCTCCAGAGGGTGAGATGGGCAGAGGGAGGCTGACGCTGAGCTACGAGGGTTCCCCGGCCCATCTCAATCCCAGATTCATCAGGGAGAGAAGGCTCCCGGGGAAGGCATCATCTATTCCCACCATGAGATCCGGGGGCCAAGATTTCTCCCACCTCTGGACTCAGGGCCAGCACTGCCCCCAAAGTCCCCTCCCCGCTCTGTGACACGTGAACTTGTCTCCAACACTTCCTGGAGCCTGAGGGGAATTTCAGCCTCTGGCAACCTCTTCCCCACAGCTGCACGTGTTCAAGGTAGGGAGAAAGCAGGAAAGGACAGGCTGAGCCTGCTCCTGGAGTGGGGTCTTTTTGCTCATCTTGACAAGTTCTGGATGCTTTCGCTTGTTTCTGTAATGATGGAGTTATGGAAACTTAAGGTGCAATGAGGGAATGGGGGTGGGGGTGGGTATGCCACGCTGCAGCCAGCCTCTCTCCATGGCCGCAACCCTTCTGGAAGCCAAAGCAGGCACTCAGGAAGAGCAGACCCAGAGCCCTTCCCTTCCACCCAGCAGGACACAGACAGAGGCTGCCACCTCTTGTGAGGAAAGACGTATTTTGAGAAACAATAAAAATTGGAGGAAGAAGCCATTTGCATAGAGAAAATGTGCCAACCTTAGGAAATTCCTAACCAGATTTTCTCTGCATAAACTACATTTTTTATTGGCAGAAAGTTTCCCTAACAGGAAAGGCATGAGAAGCACACTCTCAAGGACAGCATGTTGGGTAATGGTGGGCTGAGGCACCTGCCACATTCGGCCCGTGCTGGGAGGGTCTGGCTGGGGACCCAGGCTCCCTAGGTGGAAACCCACTTGCCATCCCTCTCTCTGGTCCACCTGCTCTTGTTAGGACAGCCGTGGACCCCAGAGGTGGCTTTGTGACTGTAAACTGTATTTGTCATCACTCTTCTCTGCTCTGGGGAGGAGAAAGCCCCCTGGTAGTGGGAATGCCCACTTCCGGGGGCCTGGAATTGTTCTTTGTGCTGCCATTTCTCTGAGCCGCAAAGTCCTTGGTGAAGCCTCAATGTCTCTGCCAGGATCTGTCCAACAGATGTCGCGATCATCTGCGCTTCACCAGCCCCGCCGTCCTTAACAGAGCTTGTGACTGGTCCAGGGCTCTGGGCAGTGGCTGACGCAGGCTCGCCCTTTGGAGGGAGATCTTCTAGTCTTTTGTCTTTTTGACTGGGGTCAAGATGCTGCAGAAAGTGCTGCATCTCTTTTCTGAAGTGGCTGGAGTGTCCCTTCTCCAGCAGGAGCTGGAAGCATTTGCTCCCAGTGGTGTCTCCTGTTCCCCTGACTTGGGAGGGGCGGCTCATCTCACTGGCTTGGGAAGCCCTCAGTCCTGCAAACCTTTCTTCACACTCTCCTGGTTTGGGCCTCCTGTAGTCATTCCTCTCATCAGTTGGGACAAATATCTTGCTCTGGCTCTTACGTGGGTCCTTAGCTTTTGGTATCCTGGGCTGCTGCTGCCCCTGGCTGGTCTTTCCACTAGGTATGAGGTCATATGGCACCTGGGAAGCTGGTGTGTCCTCACTGGTGTGTTCCCTCTGGGAACTGGAACTACGGCAGGGGTCTCGCGAGGCCTGGCGCCCGCTCCCCTCCCTTGGCTCCCCCCTGGCCACGGCTGAACTGGGACTCGGCCCCAGCCTGCCTTTCTCGGCCCCCATCACAGGCTCACTGTGCCAGTTTCTGCCCACAGAGCTTTTTGTGAGAGACTGAGGAGGCGGCCTGCCCTCCTGTCCAGCAAGAGGGGCCTCTGAGGGCCCATCACCAGGTGGGGTCCCACCCAGGGCCTCCTGGATTTCTTCACGCACAGGGGACGGGGCCGGGAGGGGACTTGTCAGGGTGGGAACTGACTCTTCCATCAATTTCTCTCTTGGATGGGGCTGAAGAGATTTTCCCGAGAACGTGGTGAAGCTAGCTTTTGAGTGGGCCCCAGATGCACAGGCAGCTGACGGAGGGAAGGCCGACCGTGGAAGGGGCGAGGGTTGAACCTTTTTCAACTTAAGGAGTTTTATGGGCTTGAGGACCTTGAGGGGTAGACCCCACTTATGGAGCACTCGAAGCTTTGTAATATGTGCTTCCAGAACCTGTCGAGTGTGTGGACTGAGGACGGAATGCCCACAGGAGGTGTTCACAGCGGGTTCCTGACCCTTCCAGGATGCTGGATTTCCGGTTTCCGTGTGAGTGTGGGACTTGGGAAATGCATAGTTGGCAGCAAGCCAGGATCGACGCACACTCACAGGGATCAAACCCTCCTTGATCTGTATCGACTTCCTGCCCAAATGGACTTCCAAGACTTTTTCTAGATGTTTCTCATCTGGGCCTCTGGGTAAGCAATTTCCAGAGTCACTCTTCGAGGGCCTCAGCAAGTGTTTTTCTGACTCCTCGGAGTTCATTCCCAGAACCTTCACTGGGAAGCTGGCTGAGCCCCTGGAGAGATCTTCCGGAATCCTCTGCAGACATTGCCCCAGACCCTTGCTAAAGTCCTTCCCTAGTTGTAACTTTACTTGACCCTTCCCATGGGACTTTCTAGGGCACCTAGACCCCATTTTCTGTGTGTCCTTGCTGCCTTTGTCTGCAAATGCAGAGGGCCGTGAGGGCGCCTGCTTGCCCTGTGCCTGATAAGCCACTAGGAATTCTTCCTGAAGCCGCATCAGTTCCAGAGACACTTGGATCTCTTGGGGCAGGACACCGTGGTGTTCATCTTTGATGAGCCTCTTTTGAAGATGTTGCTTTTGGAGATTAGAGCTGATAAAGTCCCCAGGAAGGGTGGAAACTGACTTGTGAGTGTGGGAGGCCCCACTGCGTTGGGGAAGATTGGGAATGAGTTGGCAAAAGACTTCTTCAGATCGTTTTACCACAGAAGGTAAAGCTCTCTCCCTTTCCAGTTGCTTCTGCAACAGGGAAAATTCCAGATGTATTTTAGTTGGGATGAAAGATTGTGCCTCATTCTGGAATGCAGGGAAAGATACCCCACAGGTCCCCATCTGGGGTGGAGAAGAAGGTGGTTGGATTGGGAGAGAGGATGGGAGATGGTTCTGGGTCTGAGTCTGAGCCAGAGGTTGGGGTTGGGCCCCAGAGTGGGGCAAGGGTGGGGCCTGGGAAAGCCTTGAAGATATTTTAGGCCAGACTGGAACTGGAAAGCAATGAGAGATGCCATTGAATGAAACAGAGGAAGCCTGTAGTTGAGAAGACCTCCTAGAGACCAAGATGGTAGCCACCAGAGACTCACTGTGCAGAGAGGGGAGACCCCAGTAGAGCTGGCTGCATTTCTGCTGTAAATGGTCCCCCAAGACTTTGGGATAGGACAGCTGCCGAGGACTGAGCAGCTGCTCTGGTTTGTCTTTCATGGTCCAGAAGGGGTGGGGGCTTGTGGTGTCCTGCTCAGCGCCTGGTGCTTTCCACATATTCCCTGAAGAGGTCAGGTGGAAGTCTGAGCTCATGTGTTTCGCAAATGCCCCATCGTTTTCTTTCTTATTCCAGATAACCAGTTCGACTCTTTTGGTGATCTGTATGTTCAGCATCTTCTGGACGTCAGGGTTGACAAATGAGGGGCTACCAGCCTCTACCTGCCTGTCGGTGAGGGCTCCCCAGGGTGAGTCCTCCAGCGGGCGGTGAGACAGGCGCTCTTGCTGGCACTCGGGCTGTGATGAGGTGGGGAAGAGCAAGGCCTGGATAACCTTCCACCACTGGGAGAGGAACAAAATGGGACAACTTGTGTGGACAAGGCCTGAGATGGGAGATGCCAAACCAGAGTTACCTGGAGGTGAGCTCTTGGCGACGGTGCCCAGTGGGATTCTTGGCAAGTCAGACTGGTCTTCCTGAGGTTCTGCTGACAGGGTGCAGGCCAGAGGTAGAGGGCGCTTGGTCAGAGGAGCCGGGGAAGCGGACAGGGACATGGCAGGAGCAGCATCTTCCATCTGCTCCCCACGTGGCTGGTGGGCTCCAGCAGACGCTGCTTTGCCCACCTTGCCAGGGGCGTCTTGACGTGAGAGCTGATGAAAGCCACCCTTGTCATGGAGTCTGTCCAGGTGGCTGCAGGAAACAGGAGGCACAAGCTGCAGCCAGGACCAGACGGGCCAAGGAGGGCCAGGCATGTTGGGTGGGGGTGGGCACCTGTGGCCCATGGCCCTCCACAGCCCCCACACTGACCTCACAATGCTCCTGCTGTCCCTCACCCCAGGGCTTTAGCCACACCCCGTCCCCAGGGCTCCCCCTCCCAGGTCAGCCCCAGGCTGCTGGCACCCCGGGGTCATATCATAGGCTCTGGGAGGAAGGACGACCCCGGAGAGAAGGGGAAGATTCCTTACCTTTGCACCAGTAAAACGAGGCCCCGAGCCTCCTCTAGCTCTTTCAGGCAGTCTCTGCAAGCTAGAAATCAGGAGACTGGGTCAGGGTGGTGAAGCGGGGCCCTGGGGTCTCACAGGGGGCTGACTGCAAAGGCCCTTTAGGGAGATCGTGGGGAGGTGAGACTCTGGAGCCCAAGATCAGTGTCCAAGGCCACGTGATCTCTGACAGGGACAACCAGACTTGTGCTCAGGAGCACTTGTCATTTAGAAAGTGCTTCCACATCCATTGCCCCATACGGCCCTCACCACCGCCCTGTGGGGGAGAAAGGGTAGGGGTCACCTCATGGAGGAATCTGAGCCCAGTTAAACAGCTTGTCCGTGATTGGACCTGGAGGTCCCACTCCCAATCCAGCCACTATTGGTCCACTACAGCCCACAGGTCCCTGCCAGGCACCGCCCATTTCCAGGCCCCTCGTGGCTTCATTCCTAGCACAGAATCTGGGAAGTATCTGGGTTCTGATCTCCTTCCCAGGAGCCTCCTCAAGGGCTCTGTTTCCTGAGAGAAACAGGAAAGTCCTACCACTGTCGTCCTCGGAGACCATGGAGCTAGGCCTCAGGGACAGGAGAGATGGAGGCTGGCTCTCGGGGCGCAGGGCTGAGTGGCAGACACTTACCTCTCAAAGCCCCACTTTTCTTCCTAGTCCTGCTGCTCCTCCCCCTCGGCTCCACTTGACGCTGAGGCACGAGAAAAGACGAGGGGCTGGGACCCAGTTCTCACTCTCCTCTCTCTAGACAAGCCGCAGACGCTCAGTGTTCAGGAACAATGTGACTTTCTACACTTAACTGATGGAGCACTGCGTTTTTCCTTTCCTTGTACTCATTTTTAAAGTGGGTAGAAATATTCTCTGTTTCCCTTCTTTGAAGAACACAGAGAAGGTATTTCTATGTGAGACCCACCATGGATTTCTTCCATCACTGTTCCTCTGCTCAAGAAACTCACCTTCACCGACCTACGGGTACATATCTGAGCTTCATCAGGTAGGACTCTGCTTCCCGAGGCCGGAGCCCCACTCCAGCCCCTGCTCAGTCTCTCAGGGGCTCAGATCAGCCCGAGACACCTGCCGCAGGAAGGCAGCTGGTGAACCCGTGCTCAGGGGTCTGTCCTTCCACAGAGAGTGGACTCTTAGTATCCAGTCCTCGGCCACTGGTCACTGAGTTTGGGACTTTGCCCTGGAGCCCTGTAGCACACCTGGACTCCTGGTCTGAGGTCTTTGGATGGAAACCCTACCCCACTCTGACCCCTGCCCAGCCTGGCTTGACCCTGGAAGGATGATGTTCTCTTCTTTCCTGAGAACAGATGTTCTATTCTTTCCCATCCCAGGAGTCTCTCCTGTTGATTCATAAAAGTGAAAATAAGAATAAAAAGAGAGAATCATATTCTCTTGAGTCTTTGCCAAGGCTTCCTTACCTTCTTGATGCTTCCATGTTTCCTAGCTGGTGGTAAGGATGGATTACTCTGGAGGTAGGCAAGTAGCATGAAGAAGAACCCTAGTCCACATAGGACAGTGAGGATGATAGCAATTGCCCAGGAAGTGGAACTGGAGCTCAGCCAGATATCAATAATGCTTTTCAGAGAAAAGAGAGGATTCTCCATCGTCTGAATCCATCCTCTGAATTGCACTGCTTCCCACAGGCAACTGAGCACTGGGAGTGGCGTGGGGACTAGAGCCTCAAGCCCACATCACAGAGCTGTGACCTTGTCACAAAGGGCTCCTGAGAGTGGGAGACGAGGGGACAGAAGAGGAGCAGGCTGGACCACAGCCTTTCCCCCACTATCTAGTCTAGCACCTCCACCCTCCTGGGCTTTCTAGACCTTAGTCAATTTCCTATTCATTCCACCTGGACCTCAATACTTGATTCCTTGTATCTCTTGGAGATCTTGGCTTGAACCCACTGATTCATACTCTTTGAAAGTCTGAAGTTCTCTGAAGAATTTTGGCCATTTCCCAGGGATCTGTACTCTCAGAATCTCCCCTGCCCTTGATTCCAGTTTTTAGCACATCTCAGTTGTACAATACAGTGTTGTCAAGTGTAGTCAGCGTGTTATACGTTAGATCCTCATCTTCTTCATTTATAGCTGGAAGTTTGCGCCCTTTTACAGCCTCTCCCTATTTCCCTACCCCCAGCCCCTGAAAATCACTTTTCTACTCTTCCCATGAGTTTGTCTTTTTTTTTAGATTCCACATATAAGTGGTACCACGCATTATTTGTCTTTCCCTGTGTGGCTTAGTTCATTTAGCATAACGCCCTCCAATTTCATCCATGTTGTCGTAAATCTCAACTCCATTTTTCCCACGTAAGTTTTTCACTTTTGTTAACCCAGAAGTAGAACTTTATTTTATACTTATTTAATATTGACTATTTAAGTTCTTATTGTTTCCATTGAGTTTTGCCAGCTCCACTCAGAATGAATGACACAAAAATTCAAACTAATGATTTATTAAAAATTCATAAAGCTAAGCATAATAAAAATATAAATAATTAAACCTCCAAATAATATGTTTATGTTAGTAGCATTTATACTTCTGAAGTTATAAAAGCTTCGCAAAGATTTATGGGACATGTACACACGCACACATGCATACACACATGCACACATACACGCACATACACAGATATACATAAATACACACATATGCACACACCTTTTGACAGACTAATTCGTTAATTTTAAATCCAACAATTAAGTATTTCCTCATTTTCTTTAAATCTGTTATGTGTTATCTTGACCCCATTTCTTCTTACTCTGCCCAAAATAGACAGTCTCATTTTCCGGAATTTAGAAGCATGTGTTGCGCACCCTGAAGTCAGGCATGGGTTAGGTGAGCTAAAGTCCTGATCTTTAGAGTGGAGATTGTGACTAGGAGAGCAGGGCCTTGGGTTTGAGTCTAGTCTTAAGCAGAGTTTCTGATACCCCGAATGTGTTCTGAACATATTCTTTTTCTTGGCATCCCCCCTTGCCTTCTCCCTCTTGCCCCCTCGAGACTCCCCTGTAGCCTCATGTCCTACCCGTACCTTATAGAGAGGGCACTTTGAGTCCTATAGGCAATTCCCATGTGACATCATTGGACATCCCTCTTGTCACTGGGAACTGGGGATCCACTTAGGGATTGTATGTCTTTTTATGTGTGTGTGAGGAAAATTTGCCCTGAACTAACATCCGTTGTCAATCCTCCTCTTTTTTTGGTTGAGAAAGATTAGCCCTGAGCTACTGTCCATGCCAGTCTTCCTCTACTTTGTATGTGGGATGCTTCCACAGCATGGCTGATGAGTGGAGCAGGTCTGCACCCAGGCTCTGAACCTGTGAACCCCAGGCCATTGAAGCTGAGTGTGCAGAACTTTAACCATTTGGCCAGAGGGCCGGCCCCGGGATTATACTTTTTCACCACTACATGGTTAATTTTCTTATAATACTTTAAATACAGACTTGGAAACAATGTATATTCTCTGTTGCCATAGAGTTTCATATAGCTTTAATGGGAATGAGAGCATTTGAGTTCATTTGCCTATACTGTCATGAATGCACGTGTTCAAGAGCACATCTTTGACGTCTCCTGTTGCTTCTATCTGTCTAGTCTCTTCACCCTTTAGGATATTGTCAGTGGGGCATGACAGTCCCCAGGGTGAATAGCTAGGGTACTTGGGGAGCATGGAGGGTCCCAATCTGGACAACTAGGGTCAGTGAGGAGTATGGGAGGAGGGGTCCTGATTTCTGTTTCATTTACAGGGAGACTTGTGACTAAGATGTGGGTGTCATCTTGACCTAGAAAATCAGACTTGGGTGCGCAAGGAACCACCTTCCAACATGACTTTGTGAGATAAGAGATATATTGGTCCCTGCCTCCAGTTCCTGACGCAGAACTCCTGACACTCTGGTAATTCCCTTAGTGATAAGAGCACTAGAAGCATCTTTTGTTCTATTTGTTTTTTGACCCCTCCTGACAGAGGGCTCCTGAAACCCTTGGAATTTCCTGGGTGATAGGAGTGTCTTTTGTTCGAATGAGGTGGCTCTAGGTGGACTCCTGGATGAGGGCTGGTCACTGGAAGGACCAAGCCGTGATAGAAGCTTGGAATTTTCAGCCCTGCCCCCCATTCTCTTGAGAAGAAAGTTAGAAAATGGAGTTAATGATTGATCATGCCTATGTGAGGAAGCCTCCATAAAAATCTGAAAAGTATGGGGTTCAAGGAGCTTCCAGGTGGGTGAACATGTCCATGCTCTGGGAAAATGACACATCCTACACTATGGAGACAGAAGCTCCTGTGCTTGGGATCGTCCCAGACTTCACCCCATGTGTCTCTTCATCTGGATGTTCATCTGTATCCTTATCATATCCTTTAATAAACTAGTAAACATAAGTAAATGTTTCCCTGAATTCTGTGAGCCACTCTAGCAAATTAATGGAACCTGAGGAGGGGGTCATGGAAACCTCCAATTTGTAGCCAAGTCAGACAGAAGTTGTGGGTCACCTGGGGACCTACTACTTGTGATTGGCATCTGAAGTGGGTGGGAGCAGTCTCATGGGACTGAGCCCTTAACCTGTGGAAGCTGACACTATCTCCAGGTAAATCGTGTCAGAACTAACTTGTAAGACACCAGCTCATGTCATGGAGAATTTCTTGGCATGAGGGAAAAAAAAAACCCCATGCATTTGGTGACTGGAAGTGTCAGAAGTGGAGTGTTCTGTGTAAAAGTAAAGAAGACACACAGTGGGTGGAGAACTGGATTTTTCCCAACTCAGAAGGGAAGAAAGACTGAGTTTTCCTAACACAGACTCCCACCAGGCCGCTGCTGTGCCAATAGGAGATCTCTGTGTGAGAGAACAGGAACTGGAGAGCAGAGTGAGCTGGCCACATTAGCTCCACATTTAGGCAAAAGATTTATCTCAGGACCTGTGCCTCTTCAAAACCTGTGCTCCATTTTCTGGAGAAACGAGAACCGTGTGGTTTTCCGTGTGCGTGTTTTTATCGATATACGTCTCCATTACAGACTTGACTTTGCTGACACAAATCTTAACTGCTGTCCTTCCACCTGCTCGTCCCATGCATCTACTACAAGACCGCGACTCTGCCCTGTGTCAGCCCCTCCTCCATCGCTGCTGCAGGTGAAAAATGGACCTAAGGTCCTTCCTAAGCCACCCACGCCTCCCCACACTGCTGGGCCCGTAATAGATCCCCAGGGGCTGTTGCAGGTGGTGACGCCCTCTTTGGGAGAGCTCTGCATCTCATCCTAGGCGGGCAGACCTGGGGGCCTTCTCCTGGCTTCCTTGCTCTTGACAGTCTAGATTTTACTATAGTTCATTGCTAACCCTCGCAGTGCTAGTAAGACCCTTCTTCCTGACTTAACAAGCCCCTGGTCCTTGGGCATCTCTAGGGTCTTGGAAATTTTCCTGGGCTCTGGTGTGGCCTTGAGTCACAGCTTTGCTCTCCCCCATGTTTCCACTGCTGGGAAGGAAGGGAAAGAAAAACAGCCTCAGAAAAGGAGAGGGAATTTCTATTTGGCAGTTTAGCTTTTTTTTTTTCTATATTCTTTGATCATCCTTAAGTACATAGGACAAACAAATATACCCACGCAGACATTTCACATTATGAAGTTTGAGTTCCTGCAAGTAACCCTCACATTGCATACACAAGAAATTAACACACCCTCAACCTCACAGCCTTCTCATGTGTGTCTGTCTCATTAGAGACCTTGGTTACATTTCACAGCACATTTTGATCATCAGCCTTTGTGAAGTTCCTGCTCATCCTCCTTTCATAATTTCTATGGGAAGAAGGTAAGTGGGGGAGTGTGGGCTGGTAGGAGAGTGCCAGGAGCGTGGATTCAGTGGGCAAGAAAGGAGCCGTCACCATGCATGGCTGCTCCCCTAGAAATCCACTGGAACAACGAGGTGTCATTTCCTGAGTACAAATTATTGATTCTCTGAACACTTTGGTACACATAAGTGCCTGGATATCCAATTTTATAGTTATTATACAATTATACAACGCACACATAAATTATGAAATAATAGTCTTGCACTTGACTAGAAGATAATCTTGTTTATTTCAAGAGGTCTTGTATAAGTTCTTATTACTTTAAGCTGATAAATTTAATTCTACTTTGTGCATATTTTTGATCACAAAATAATTTGCTGCATAGTTAATTCTTTTAGCAGTCACCAGAATCATGTTTAGTGTCTTTACCAACAGATAAAACCACTTTATTCTTAACAAGTCAAACAAAGATTTTTTCTGGAGCTTGGAATGAAATTCGGGTCTGCTCTGCTATTGTTTCATGTAATCAAATGATGTAGGGACCAATTAAGAAACACATAGAAGCACGTCAAGCAAGGTAATGGGCATACTGGGAAGTTATTTTGTTTACTTTGTATTTAAAAACACTTATATAGCACTTTATTTATGAGGTGTCAGGCATGGTTCCATTTAAAATACTGACCATTGAATAGTTTAATAATTCAAGTGTGGCATAAATAATGTATATCTGTGGGATCTGATGCAAAAAAGAGCATCTCAAACATGTCTGAAAATAGAATTATATTAGCAATGGGTCAGTCCACAGTTCTGCGTTTTGTCCACGCATCCTTACTAGCAAATTCCCAGTGTATCACTTCTCGCCAGAACAGTTTGTACTCTCATCACTTCTGAAGATTCTACACATTTCAACTCTGCTTTGCTGTTTTGATCAAGGTTTTCCTTCTCTTTGCACCTTCCCAACAGTTCTGTAACATCTTAACCCTGATGCAGAGTCCAGTTCCATAAAAACCCTCTTTAAGAGAATCTCAGAGAACCCTGCAAAGTGAATTTCCCCACACACATCATTCTACTTCCATTAAACCACTTAACATTTGCTTGGGAGCAGAATCGTCTATGGATATGTCTGACTTTTCTCCTAACAGCAAATTTCTGGACAGCAGGAACTATTTAGGGCAAGTTCAAGCAACATGGAGGAAGCTTGAGATTCTGTGGGGCCAGTCATCCCTATTCTAGGCAAGGCCTAGGTAGGGTTTGAGCCAGCTGACTTGCCCAAGGTCATATGTCTAGTTTGTGGCAGAGGTAGGCCTATCACAAAGTCTCATCACTCTTAGTCCTCTGTTCTTTTCTTTTAAGATTGGCCCTGAGCTAACATCTGTTGCAAATCTTCCTCTTTTTTTTTTCTCCCCAAAGCCCCAGTACATAGATGTATATCCTAGTTGTAGGTTATTCTAGCTTTCTATGTGAGATGCTGCCACAGCATGGCTTGATGAGCGGTGCATAGGTCCATGCTCAGGATCTGAACTGGTGAACCCCAGGCCACCAAAGTGGAACACACTAACTTAACCACTCGGCCACAGGGCCAGCCCCACTCCTGTGTTCTTTACACCACACAGCTCAACACAATTTTGACCTGATTGTCTTTATACCATAAAGATGGCCTTCCAGTAAGCTGATAAGTAGATAATGGGCGCTAAAATATGCCTAGAATAGCAACATGGGACTATGGAGGAAATAAGGGAAAACGAAAAGGAACCATCATGTATTTACTAATATGCCAACAAATAGAAAACTTAGCCTCTACCCTTATAAT